GTTGATAGACTAACCAACCAAGTACGTAAGATCAAAAGGACAGTCCACACCCAAGGACAGATTTAGGAAATGTAGAGGAATAGAAACAGGAAAGCCTTGAAGAGAGTGGGATGAGTGATAGTTTGTTGTTGTTCTTGCTGTTGTTGTTGTTGATAGTTGCCCTCAATTAGGTTCCAGCTCACAGAGAACATGTGTACAACAGAATGAAACACTGCCAAGTCCTGCTCCATCTCAACACTTTTTCTGTTTGAGCCCGTTGTTGCAGTCGATGATTCAATACCTTGCAAGGGTCTTCCTCTTTTTCACTTTCCCAAACATGATACCCTTTTCCAGGGACTGGTTTCTCCTGATAACATTTCCAGAGTACATGAGACAACATCTCACCATGCGCACTTCTCAGGAACACTCTGGATGTACTTCTTCTGAGACAGATTTGTTAGTTCTTCTTGAAGTCCATGGTTCTTTCAATATTCTTCTCCAAACCATTATTCAAATGATGCAGGAAGTATCAAAAGAGGATGGAAGGACTACACAGAGCAAGAGTAGCAGATGATCAAGAACGGGTGGTACTGAAGGAAGAAGGCCAAATGGTACTGAAGATATTAGCACACACACACAAAAAGCCCAAGGGTCCAGGAGTTGACAGAACAGCAGCTGAAATGTTTCAACCAGCTGACGAAGCACAGGAATCACTCATTCCTCTATGTAATAAATTTAAAACAAAGCTACCTGACAATAAAAAACTGTAGAAATGATGAACCAATAGAATTAATACCACATGCACATAAAATTTTGCAGAAGATCATTCAATAATGAGTGCAGCAGTACTTCAACAGGGAGCCTCCAGAAATGCAATGTGGATTCAGAAGAGAATGTGAAATGAGATGTCATTGCTGACATCAGATGGGTCTTGCCTAAAAGCTACCAGAAAGATGTTTACTTGTGTTCATTGACTATGCAAAAGCGTTTAACTGTGTGGATCTGTGGCAGGTAGATTTATGTCAACTTGAAGATATATGAAAGTGTAGTGGTGGAATCCAACCTGCCAATCAGGTCACAGCCTTATGATACCTCCTTGGGGGTGTGGCCTTCCAATAATTGGAGACTCTTGAAATTTCCCTCTATCTGCCACTCCATCTTCCTGCTTGATAGAACTCTAGTGTCTTTCTTCAAGGGTAGCCGCATGTGGGCTGCCTGAGCCTGAGAGCTATTGGCACCCTTCCACATTACAATTGACCTTGGATCCATGTGATGATTCTGCATCCACTGGCCTGTTATCTTCCACATCCCACTTCACCTTTATACATCATCATCCTGCAGCTATGTGAGTGTGCAGAGAACCCTGCCCTGCATCAGACTTGTGACCTTGAGGTAGACTGGGATGGGATGCCTTCTTGATATAATGTTAATCTTGATATAGAACTATTCTGTTTACATATATGAGTGTCACTGGATTTCTTTCTCTAGACCACCTGGCCTAACACAGGGTCACAGCATTGAGATGAATTCAAATTTCCAAACACAAAGTTGTGCTCATGTAGAACTTGTACATGGACCCAGAGGCTCTCATTTAAAAAGAGGAGAATATTTTGTGGTTTAGAATCAGGAAAGGTATATATCAGCATTGTATCCGTTTATCATACTTATTCAATCTATATGCTGAGCAAATCATCCAAGAAGCTGGAGCTTCTGAAGAAGAACTTGGCTTTATACTTTTCATTTTCTAGGAGGAAGGCTTTTTAACATCTGTCAATCCTCACACGACACACCTTGCATGCTGAAAAGAATGGAAGCCTTCAGTATGGATTCCAAAGCAATGTAATGAAAATGAAACTATGGGAAAGAGAAAGATTTCTCCCAAGTTGTCTCCCGCTAATATATGCCAAACTGAGCTGCTTGCTACGTGTGGCAAATGACTACACTTGGAGGTCAACAGAAGTAGGTCAGGGGTTTTTCTCCCTAAGGGTTATCAGCCATCCAGAGCAAGCAGACACCACTGTCTATCCCACAACAAGTAGGGGCCACTCCCTTCTGATAAGGATAATAGTAGATTGTTTCCCTGGAGATCCCAGGGAAGTCAAGCCCACCCAAGGGTGACCAAGGTTAGGCTGCCATCATGAATCTAGGGTGTGTCCTTCTTGTCACATGTATACCTCTAGTTCCTCCCCTTCCTATCATGTGTACACCCCTAGCTCATCCCCTTCCTGTCATGCTTATGCTTATGGTACTGCCCCTTCCTGTGATGTGTGGTTTACCTGTGATCATGCCCCCACGAAGTAGTAAGCCTTTGTTAGCAATAAAGTTCCCTCCTGCTGGGTCTCTGCCCCACTTCACCTCCAGACCTCACCTCAGCCCACGCTGTACATGGACCTGGCTGGTAAGATCTGTAGGCAACTACAATATTTAACAAGAAAAATACAAATAACACAATAAAAAATAAGCACAGACTAAAATAGACAATTCATTAAAGATAGCATCCAGTTGTCCATCAATCATATGAAGAAATGTTAACATTCACAAGGAAAAGAGAAAAATAGATTCAAACAATGATGAAATGCAACTTGATACATTTTCATCAAAATTCAATAAGACAAACTCATAAATGCTAAAGAAGAGTAGAAATAGGAATGCTCATACATTGCTGGTGAGACTGTACAATTTTAAAATCTCTATGGAAATCAGTATAACACTTCCTTAGACAAATGCAAACACAAATCTCTTATAATCTAGTAGTCTTCATTTTTATATATACGCTAAAGAAATAAAGAATACAACATGAACAGACATATGCACACATGTTTATTGCTGCATTTTCCAAAATATCGAAAAACAAGGAAACAACCAAAGACACCTATTATAAAGGAATAGACAAACCCTGGTACTTCTTTGCAATAGAATACTTAATATCAATTAAAACAAAATGACTGTCGGGTTAGGCACAAGCAGAGTGAGGTGAGGATCGCAGACTCTCAGTTCCCGTTTACACTGCGTAGACCATATCTCTGCAAAGATGGTCAGTGTATCCCAAGCCCAAAGAACTTTCTGTAAGAAGTGCGGCAAGCATCAACCTCACAAAGTGATCCAGCATAAAAAGGTCCAGGATTCCCTGTACCCGCAAGGAAAGAGGTGCTATGATGGGAAGCAGAGTGGCTATGGTGGGCAGACAAAGCCAATTTTCCGGAAGAAGGCTAAAACCACAAATAAGATCATGCTGAGGTTGAATGTGTTGAGCCTAACTGTAGGTCCAAGAGGATGCCGGCCATTAAAAGATGCAAACATTCTGCACTGGGAGGTGCTAAGAGAAAAAGGGCCAAGTGACCCAGTTCTAAACCTTGGTTTATCTTGTAAATTTTAAAAGTGTTGAATCAATAGTTGTATTATCTGTAAGAAAATATAGTTATATTCTTACTTGAAAAAAATGTGTTAAACACCATGAGGCATGGAAAAAATTATTATGCTTTGCAAACTCAGTCAATCTTACAAACAAATATTTAATAACACTAGCATTATAATGAAAAACAAAGATAAAGAAACTTGGAATATACTTGAAAAAATAAGACTTTGATGACTGTGAGAAGGGAGGGACAGGGATAGGAGAGCGATAGGTTATTGAGGAAGATGGGGCAGAGAAAAAAAGAGAAACATTTACAACGAGTGTTTAAAACGATATTGCTTTTGATTTCCATTCCTTGAGAGATGGGCTGTGTAAATATACACAGTGTACATCTTTTTAAAAATCCCTCAAGATTTCTTATTCCTCCAATCTATATATTGGTCTAAGTGACTAACAAAAACAAAACAAAACTAAAAGCTGGAAAATAAAACTGAAGTGGATTAGGGTCTTTATTTATAGAAAAAAAGTTCACTTCAAACAAAAAAGACAAAAGAAATCAGTAAAGGCTTTTTTTATGGGTACCCAACCTACTAAGAATCACTGACTTTATTATCCATTATGCTGGATTGAAACTGAGAGCAGCACAGTAAAACGCTCAGACAAATAGACAGAAGTAAAGAAGCCGACTAAGACTCGGGACAAGAGGAAAGAGGGACGAAACTGTTGTTGCTGGTTTTTAAATCGCAATATGCTTTCTTCCAGAGTTGATAATGAACACATTTCCCTGGCAGAAAAATTCATTCTATCTCAGTGTCCAATAGAAATCGTCCTCTGTCAAAAGTCTTTTAAGTCATTTTTTCCGTGATTGCCTGATGATCCCCTGACCACTTTTCATTGTGAGCCCAACTTCTGCTTTTTCACTGGCTGTTTCAGTAGCAATGACAAACAAGCCTGGCCACAGGAGAGTTTGGGAAGGTAAAAATCTTGTGTGTCATTGACCATCAAGGACAGACCAATGTATATAAGGTATTGAATGGGACATTAGATGAATTCAGATTAAGACAAAAAACAACAGCCCCTGCGATTTTAGGCGAAACAATGAAATAGATCAGAAACCTCTTCAGCTAATTTAATGAGGTGTTCTTTCTCTCTGAATTGCTAATTTTCAATCACTCAGTGATGTGTTCAATTGTCACTAAGACTAGGCCCATTTTTATCATGTTTATGCACACTTTATTACCTCTGTCTACTTGAACTGTTCTTAAAGGAAAGACTTATCCCATTCAATTTTTGTTTGTTTTTAATATGATGTACTTTCTTCCTGAATTGCTAATTCTAATTGCTAACAAAAGTCTAAGAAGTTGGGAAGCCTGCCCTCCACCCACCACTTTTCTGTCCGTTTGTCTTTCTGTCAAGGCTGGTGTGTTGTTGGGATTCAGATGCAGAGGTGTTCCAAATGCAAGCAGGCTGACCCAAAGTCAAGAGTTTTTAGCTGAACTTCCAGACTAAGAAGAAACTACTAAGAATGGATCAGTCGCCACTCCAGGACCTGAACTTCACTTCCAGGCCCCTCCCTCCAGGAGTCCCTCATTACCTCCAGGCCCCGCCCCTTCGGAAAGACCCACCCCTACCCAGGTGACGCAATTTCCTGCCGAACCCACTTCCTCTGAGAAGTTTCTGCCTGAGCGTCCCACGAGGGTAAGTGAGTCTCTATGTTTCTATGTTGATCCTAGGCTCGGAGCCCCCTACAGGCCCGGCATCCTCGGCTGTACCCCGATCCCCACTGATCTTACAGTTCCTGCTTCCTGTCTGCCCGCGTTCCAGATCGCCGCCACCCCCTGGGATATTTCCAGTTAAATCCTTTCTGAGCTGGTTACAAGCCTCTCTGCCTTCGGCCTTGGGAATCCTCCGGTCCCCTTTCCTGCTCAGAGCCCCTCATTCACCCTCACCCCTCACGCCAGAAATGCCCGATTGAGGGTGGGTTCTTGCCTGGGGTTCGTTCCCTCCGTGTCAGTTATCGGGCATGAGAGCCGGGGACCCCAGAGTGGCCTTTACTGGAAGGAGAGGCCGGCCTTGCAGTCATCAGGCCACTCCACTGACGACCGAGGTCTGTAGCAGAGCTTAACTTCTCAGTACCTTGCTTTGCAAAAGGGTGCCATAGCAGTGACAGCCCCAAATCCCCGCATAGATTAAGCCCTCACTTGGATTGCACGGTCCCACATAGAGTAAACCTCCACTGAATGCTTTCTGCCCTGGAAGCAAGGTTGTAGGTACTCTGGCCCACAGGCAGAGGGTTTTGGAGTGTGGATTACCTTCACCTCTCTCCAGGCAGCCTGGGGAGGGGCGGTCTTTCTTAGAAGCTTGCAGGCCTGTGTGTCCTTGATGGAGGTCACCAAACTGAAGACAGTACTGGGAGTCTCCTAGCCATCCCCTATCAGTCTAGCCCTGACTGCTGGGTCAGAAGGCCTTGAACCATATCAAAGAAGTGTCTGTCATTATGATGTAAAGTCTTAATAGCGACAAAGAGAATACTACAAAGATGCAAACATAAGGTACCCGGATGAAGGAGATCATTAGTGTAGGTCAAGGAAACATTCAAATGGGGAATCTAATTGAATAATATTGGAACAAAGAAAACTGTCACAAGGTCATGGTTGGTGGACGATCAATACATCATTGTTAAAATGGGACTACAGAAGCAGGGACAGGACCATAATGGGGCACCCACACTGTCAGATAGAACATTTTACAAGACTGGTCCAGGGCCATCTGATATAGGCAGTCAGTGCTAAACTTAAGGACTATAGGACACCCTGGATTGGCTGGAGAATGGTGGAGGTTGTCCACTTTCCAACTTCCTCTGCTTCTGGGTAAATTTAAGCTTTATCCTTGCTTAATGGTCCGAAAGAATTGAATGGAGGCTTAACCTATGTGGAGACCCTTCAATAGGACTTTAGGCAGTCACTGTCATAGGCCTTTACTCACTGGGGTGCTAAGACTTTAATCTCTAAGACAGCCCCTGGGATTTGTCTCCTAATCTCTGCTGATGCTGTAACTTTCCACTTGGAGTGTGAAGAGTCCCACTTGGGGATGTCTCCCTAAATAAACCTCACCTCAGCAGAGATTAATGCTATTATTGGCTCCATTCTCTTTATAACACTGAGCTCTTCAATCCATTGCTACCACCCCCATACTATCCCTCTTGGCTCTTAGAGCATTGCTGGCCCAGATTTAAAGCCCACTCAATTTTTTATAGGGAATTTTGATTTCCTTTTATATTCTCTTGATTTGCAAAATCCAGCAATTATTTATTGATGTTTCAGGTCCTTTTATGTATAAATCTGGAGAAAGAATAGGTTTTCTTCACTTCTGAAAACCCACAGGGTAGTTCTCCTCTCTCCTGTAGGGTCACTGTGAGTCAGAATTGACTCAATGGCAGTGAGTTTGGGTTCTGTGCATTAATATATTTTAGTGACACATGTCCTCAAGGTCAGCACTTTTTTTGGTTGTTTTATTTTCACAGTGACATAGAATTTAAATCCGTCGTTTATCAGTTATCCCAGTACAGAGGTTCTCAACCTGTGGATTGCAAACCCTTTGGGGGGTCAAACAATCCTTTCACAGGGGTCACCTGAGACCGTGGGAAAACACGTATTTCTGATGGTCTTAGGAACCAAGAAACTGCCCTTCTGTCTGTCTCCAGGCAGGTCCACCCACATGCAGATATGCCCACATACGAGTACCCAGAGGTGAAGACTGTTACCCATGCTACACCATGATTCAAGACAAAATTTCATTTATTTGTAATTAGAAATAAATATTTCACAATATATAATTACATATTGTTTTGTGATTAATCATTATGCTTTAATTCTGGTCAATTCGTAGCAAGGAAAATACATACTGCATATCAGATAATTACATTACGATTCAGAACAGTATCAAAATTACAATTATGAAGTAGCAACAGAAATAATTTTATGGTTGGGGGTCACTACAACATGAGGAACTGTATGAAAGGGTCGCGGCATTAGGAAGGTTAAGAACCACTGTCCTAGTGGATACAGAAAATGTTTCTTGGAACCAAATTCTAAGTATATAAATTCTTTTTATCCTTTTGATTTATTTCCTTTGTTAACTGTTTCTTTTTCAATTTGTTTTATTTTACTTTGTAGAACTATGTCCCAATGTTAGCTCCTAATTTTTAAAAATTGTGTTATAATTGTTCCTAGTGCAAGGCAACATCCAGATATATAATTCTTATATATAGAAAGATATCATCTTATTTAAAATGGGTGACATTTTCTCTACCCCACTGCATGGTAGTACTTAAGTTTTCTAACCTTTTATCCAAGTGTTCTTGATAGAAGGCTTGTTTTATTTGCCGGTTTATTGTTCTCAGGTGCACTCCAGTGCATGCTGTTAGTGATGCCATGGGCCTCAAACTTTTCCTTATGCTTTTTAGACTATAATCTATATGTGAACAGATTGCCTCTTTGTGGGACTCAACTGCTTTCATTTCCTAGAGCTGCCGATTATTTAACCACTGGAGCAGTAGGGCTTCTTCACTGACTAATTTAGATTTGCCAAGCTGACATGTTTTGCATTATAGACATGCTGATTCTTTTTTTTAATTAATTCATTCTATTATTATTTAAATCATTTTATTGGGGCTCATACAACTCTCATTGTAATCCATATATCCATCCATTGCGTCAAGCACATTTTGTGCATTTGTTGCCCCCATCATTCTGACATGGTGATTCTTAATGAGAATTATTTTTGTGTTTCTGTGCACAGAAATTTTTTGTTTTAGTTCATTCATTCATCAGTATATGAGGAGTTTCAATGCTATAGAAAATTATAGGACTCTAAATCCATGACTTTCCTCACAGAGTGGGTGGAAACAAATTCCGCGTTTCAGGGTCATAATCTGAATAAATTTGCACTTTTGATTATGCTGTGTTCTCTTTAATCATGTTTGAAAGACGTGTTTTATTCAGCAAGGCAACACAGTTGCCATTGTGTGCCCTTCTCTTTGGTATGGGGTTAGAATGTGGCCGGATTATTAGACGTTTATTGTCTTCTCTGTTTGAAAGGTGTTAACAGCTGTTAAGGACCCTTCATAAAGCTGAGGATTGTTTCTTGGGACATTGCTGGAGGACAGTAGCATTTCCCCCATTACAAATGGTATATTCACAGCTAGGAGAGAGAGGAACAGGATTACAAGACGAGTTCAGCACTTCTCAAAGGCAGCTGCTTTTCTAGGGTTTGTTTACAACCTAAGTGAGATCCCTCTCTTCAGACCTGCAGTTAACACCTTCTTTTCTGGTCGTCCATTCCTATGCTTTCTCTGAAGTGAAAACTGGTTCTGACCGAAGTGACGATCTCTGAAGGCAAATAGTTCACACACAGATTATTTTAACTTCTAAGGAAGCCCGATACTTGACTTCATAGAACTCAGGGCTTTGGAACATAATAATACAGATAGAGATGTTTTCTTGGGGGAAACTATGCAACTGAGAATTCCAAGACTACAATAGGAAATCCACCCTGACAACACATCTCTGCCTGCCTCAGAGCCTGGTTCTTGTGCCCACTTGGTCATAAACACCCGCTGTAGCCCATTCCTGAAGGTGAGGTTTGTTCCTGGATTCACACTGACTTCCTTCGCTGTGTCTCACACAGCAACAGCTGGCCATGTCCCACATTCCAGCTATGGATTTACAGATCGAGCTCATCCTTGGCACCTTCTCTGTAGATGACTAATCAGGTCTTCATGAAGTCTGCATATTCCTAGCACAGCATCAGGTTATATTGGGCAATCCACTGCAAGCCCCAGGATGGCTGTTCCAATAAGTATAAATTATATTGATGTATTGAGCATGCTGACGTAATTTTGGGTGATTACCATTTAATCTGTGTCTAGCTTCCCCTTTATTTCCCAGTTTGAGCTCAGACCAGGGTGATCCTGGAGGCAGATTATTCAAGGTGGTGAAATTGGGGCAGATGTGGATCTCAGATCAGGCTATGCTAACTGGAAAGATAGTGGGTCATTCTTGGTTGGATGTTTCGTGCTTCCTGGAAGGTAAGAGACCCTGGAACCTGGGCAGGGGGCCTATCCTAAGCCAGGTACCCTCATCCAGGCTCAGGGAGGAACACTGCAGTTTGCCTCTGGAAGCCCCTGAGGTGGAGCTCAAAGGTATTCAGCCCTGTGCCCTCATCCTGATGATGAAGTGTCCACTAATGACTTCTGCTAATGTGTCCCCACCCAGGCCTCACTTTCAGTCCAGTTAATTGAGATGTCCCTGTGTCCAAGGTGCCGGGTCAGCATTTCACAGGTTAGGTCCGAGAGGGGTTGGCCCGCTGTTGTTATCATGAGTAACTCTTTGAGGACTTACTTCTCCTTGAGTGGAGAACCCCAGTGTGCTCTGACAGGGAGTTCCTGGCACTGGACACACAGGGTATCCATAGGATTGACATGTTTCCAGTTTTGGGGGGAAGATACAGCCCCACTTGAAGTATGTCTTGTGAGGTTAATGTGTTGGCTCACACTGATCTAAAGGATGCCCAGAGCCAAATATTTTAGGGTTATCAGCGCACACTTGTGGAGGGGGTACACAAAATCATTCTCTGAGTGAGCCCTTTCCCTAGGTCTGAGTAAAAGGCCAGTGTTAGTTTTGAAAAATGACTACAAT